AATTATATATTTAATCAATTAGAATATGTCACAGTACAAAGTATATAATATCTGCAACAAATACTGAAAACATTAAATATAGTTTAAGGAGCTTCTGTAAGTACAGATTGTTTTATGTACTTTGATTGTGCTGTTTTTGTATTTGCATCTGCTATGCTTTTATTAATGATACCATATAAGGAATATGTTTGTCCTTCACTTGAACTCACAGTCTGTATTTTAAAGTTTAATTATGTGTAAATTTGTGTTTTTTTTTTCTGAAATTATGAATATTGCCAGTGCAATAATGACTATGATGAGAGCACTCAATTGTAAGAATACATTTTGTTTAACTACTTACAAAAGAAGTTAATCAATAGACAAGACAATGTAAAGACATATAAAGGCCAAACCTACAATAATTTAATCTTCTTGTTTTTCTTAATGATGTGCCATGTAAGAAAGAGGAAAAAAAGCTTAAATACTTGGGTGATACCAGTGAATATTGACACATATGCATCTATATTCCAGTGATGCATTGGTGACTGTAAGCTAAAGTATATTACTTGATTAATGTAATAAAAATCCACACTCTACAGGGTATAACAAAATAATGAAGGTTGGATCGAAGAATATAGACGCTTATAGCTTATAAGCGTATATGTTGACACATAGTAGCACACTTGATATCTAAATTTTTCCTTATTACTTGCAAAAATATTCTGAAAAATATGTAAAATTTGAGGGAACTACTGATTATATTCAATATACTGCTACTTCAGCATACTAATGGCCTACCTGGTAGTGTAAGGCTTAATATCCATTATGTTTTAGAGACAGTTATTATGTGTTGCCTACCAAAGACAGTGTATAACATTCTTACCTTGCCTTTCGGACTGTCAAGTATTTTTATGTATTAAGTACAGCATATTTTGTGATATTCTCTTATATTCTAAGTTTTTCCTGTCACTTAAATGTATAAAAGTTTAATTTTCCTCCTTATTTGTCTTCTGAAATAAGAATTAAGAAGTTTTAAATAAATATCGAGTATATTTGCAGTAAAACGTAAGTGGATACAAAAAAGATTTTCAATTATTTTCCAATCAACTATTTAAATGTAAAAAAAGTATCTTCTGATAGGTTACCTCAGTTCCTACTAAATCACCTTGAATATCATGTAACACTTTCAAATGCTGTGTAACAGAAAAATTCCAATGAAATTGAAAGGCAGACGTAGTGCACTGAATAAGTTAACTTTTTTGCTCTAGTATTTCTAAAAATGTTGTTGCAGCTGTTGTTCCCATTGCTGATATCAGATTACTGATTATATTGATTTCTGATTACATTATCTGATTTCTCTTTTTCTCTTACGAATGCTGAAAAAAGTCAGACACATTTATTACTAAGAACAGAAAATTATTTTACATCTTGTGAGAATTGAGAATGCTTGTGAATGAGTGGGGTAACAAAAAAGGATAAAATTTAGAATGAGTATTTTAGGGGAAAACTTGGAGTAGCACCAATTGATGTCAAAATGGGTGAGCGTAGGTTAAGATGGTTAGGGCACTTTTAATACCAAAATGAGGAATAACTAGGGTAAAAGTTAATGGAAAGGAAAGGAGATGAAGACTAAAGAAGATCTTTTGAGAGAGATTTGGATAAGAAATTGTGAAATTGGTATTTTCCAAGATATGTATGAAAATATATAATATAGAATATATAATATATATAGAGATGAATTACATTAAAATGCTTAACACCATTTCAAGTCAGTCAGCTATCTGCCAAGATATTGTATACTTTTCTTTGTGCCCAGCTGACTTGAGCTTGCAGCAAGAATTTGATAAAATTCGATATAAAAAACAACAGAATATTACTTATATTCTGACAGTGAGTATGAATCTTCTTTGAAACTAGTCTCCATGTGCCTCTCTACTAGCTGATTTATTAAAAGACTTCAACATGGTTAATAATTTCTCAATAAAGTCCACAATATAATCTCTACAAATACTATTTTCCGTAAGAGTTATAAAAACAACCTTAAACCTGGATAAATCGAACAGCAATTAAACAAATTAATCACAAACGACATCAATGGCGAAAATTTAAACACACCGGGCTTTTTAGTGATTTCCAAAGCCACCGCAGATTTTCAAATAACTTAAAAACATCTCTAAAAACCCTAAGACAAAATTTTGAAGCAAACGTTATTGAAAGTGGTAACATTAAAAAAGTCTATAAATACATACGTTCCTCCATGACATCTAAAGTTTCCATTCCGCTACTTCAAAAACCCAACCAGACTTTATGCTCTTCGGACAAAGAATCTTCCGAAACTCTCTCTTTAGACTTTTCACAGGTTTTTACTAAAGAATTAAATTATGGTTATCTACCTGCTATTAACTGTAATCGTGTCGGCGCATTCTTACAGTAAGTTGAATTCACAGTAGATCATGTCAAACAACACTTAATTAAACTTCGCACGGCTGCTTCACCTGGTTTAGATGGTTTAACACCAAAACTGTTAAAAAGGTGCGCAGACACGCTTGCAATACTCTTAACGTTAATTATGCAAACTTCTTTCATCCAGAACTCCTTACCCCCTAGTTGGAAATTAGCTTCCGTTACCCCTATTTTTAAAAAAGGCAACATACTCGACCCCAACAATTATCGTCCGTTAGCTTGCTGCCAGTAGTTGCCAAAGTTATGGAAGCTAATTATTTCCGAGGAGATGACCAAATTCGTTCTCCAGGAACATGTTATTCCAACACAACAATATGGATTTGTCTCTGGTCGCTCTACTCTAACCAATCTCCTACATTGTGTTAACGACTGGACGTCATCCTTAACAGTTCGCAGCCGGTCGACGTTGTTTATCTAGATTTTTCTAAAGCCTTTGACCGTGTACCTAAGCGCAGACTTCTACATAAGCTAGAACATTTCGGAGTTCGCGGTACTTTACTTCGTTGGATAGATGATTTCCTGACAGATCGATATTACAAAGTTAGAGTTGGCGAATCTTTCTCACAGGACAGGTTAGTGGAAAGTGGAGTGCCTCAGGTTCTGTCCTTGGACCTCTGCTTTTTACGGTTTACACCAGCGATATTCCTTATTATGTCTCAAGTAAAATATCGTTCTACGCTGACGACACAAAAATATATGCCAATCCAATCACAAACCAGCTAACCCTCCAAATGGACTTGGACTCTATTTTAACTTGGTGTTCCCAGTGGTTACTACCCTTAAACGCGGAAAAATGTGTAGTGCTTCGAATTGGTAAAAATAACCCACTTGTGCCGTACTTTGTTAACGGGCAGCCATTAGAATCTGTGTTTTCGTATAACGATCTTGGTGTTATCGTGAACAGCAGCCTAACTTGGTCCGACCATATTACCTCTATTTGTAAACGTGCAAACTCCAGACTGTATCTTATTCGGAGGTGTTTTTCGAGAGTTTCAATGCAATCATTCTGTAAACTTTACACTCTGTACGTAAGACCCATACTTGAATACGCTGGACCAACGTGGTATCCTGATCTGGTTCGAGACAAGACTTTGTTGGAAAACGTTCAAAGAAAAGCCACTCGAATTTCTTTGGGACCGAGAAGACCGTCTTATGCAGAAAGACAGTATGGCTAACCTAACTACTTTTGAACTTCGCCGACAACGTGGAGACTTAATTACAACATTTGAAATACTAAAATTCAATTTTGGAAACCTCGATGAAATATTTATCATAAATCAAGATGAACGCCTCAGAGGTCATCAGTATAAACTAAAGAAAGAAAATTTTTTCTACAAGACCAAGACAGAACTTTCTTCCAAATAGAGTTTTTGAGTGCTGGAATAACCTTAACGATAACATTGTCTCCGCTCCCTCTACCAATTCGTTCAAAAACAGACTTGACCGTTTTATATTATAGTTAAAATATTGTTTTTCTTTTAAACCATAAAATTGTAATTTTATTTCTTTAATTTGTAATTTTTGTTATTTACTAGTAGGTGATTAATGAAATTTCTTTGTTTTTGGGCATAATAGGGACTTAGTTCCTCTGCCCTCGCTTATGTTATAATAATAATAAATAATAATAATAATGGGGTATTATGAGCTAAACTAAGCTACATGACTTTGGTTAGAAATGGTTTTTAAATGGTTCTAAAGTATGGTGATTAACTATAAAATACCATATGAATGCAACAATTTTTATGTGGGAGAAATTGCAAAATCACTAAGTGTCAGGATAAATGAGCATGAAACATAAAGCAATGTTGTTGTAAGTCGCACAAGCTTTCTAGATCTTATTTCTTGAGTCCCTTTTCTTTATGTTACCTTCTTAAGGGCTCATTCTCCATTTTTCTTGTCCCTTGTTTTCCCTGCCATTCTCTTACTCCTGTGTTTTGTAAATCTTCTCAAACTTCTTGCAGTTACTTCGATCCTGGTTTTCCTCTTTTCTTTCTTTCTCCTGGATTCTATATCACTGTTTCATCTTCTGCTCACCAGATGTGACCTATCTATCTAGTTGTACATTGCTTTATTTTGGTCACAATATCTCCTTTCGGTGTTTTTCTAATTTTTGAATTTGTTCTGCTTCTATATTAATTTTAATTGTTTTGATTGGTCCCAGTATGGTTCTCATGATTTTTCTTTCCACTATTTTCTTCATATTTTTCAGTGTTTGTTAGTCTTTTTTCTAAACATTTTACGCTAAACGCTAAACACGTACAATAGACTTGTATATGTACACACGTATTTTACATTGATTCCTTGTCAACGTAGTTTTATAGTGGAAATAGTGCATTAAAAATTTTGATTTTTGAATGGTGTCATCTACATAAGTGAATAAATATATACATCTAGTTATTTTTAAACAGATACTATTATTTTCTGCATAATTTATGTGTAAAGTGCAAATCGTTTGCAAATAAAAAGGCAATAATACTTTTTCGATAAGATAGTAAAAAGTGGTCGTTCAAATTTAAACATCGATAGTACGGGTGCTGTGCTTACGATTAAAATTTATAATGGAGTGTATTATTTGTAAAAATTCAACTGGAGATGTTACCATAAACTGTGATAGCTGCACCAGGTCGACACATAGGGAGTGTTCTGGATTAAATGCCAGAGAACTACAAGTTATGGACCTCAAAGGTAAGAGATTGCTTAAATTTTATTGTGAGGATTGTCAGAATGGGATAAAGCTTATTCCTAAATTGCTTGCAAAAATTGATCATATGGAGTTAGAAATCAAACATTTAAAAAATATATCAGAATCTGTTGGCAATAATGACCCTAACACTAGGGAAGACAAAGAAGAAATAATATGTGAAATGATTGAGAGGCAGAGTCGGGCTTCTAACATAATTGTCTGTAACGTGAATGAATCAAAAATGAAAACGCAAGTAGAACGTGATTCTGAAGATGCAACAGCTATTGGGAAAATATTGAATAATTTTAATATTGACAAAAATAATTTAAAAGTGTTTCGCTTGGGAAGATATATGGGAAGCAAGAGTAGGCCGCTTAAAGTTATTCTTAATTCAAAAGAAGACGCCAAATTTGTTCTTAAGAATAAACAATTAATTTCTATTCCAAGCATCAGAATATTTGGTGATCAAACGAAGGCTCAACAGGACTATTTTAAAGCGATTAAAAATAAACTACAAACTTTGATTGATAACGGTGATACTACCAAAACTATTAGATATATAAATAATAAACCAACTATTGTTTCAAAATCCATTCAAAAAAACATTTTGTAAACCCTAATATACCTTTCAACTCCGATATAATTTATCTCAACGCCCAAAGCGTAGTAAAAAATAGAGACCAAATCCAAGAATCCATAACTTGCTATAACCCCAAAATAATTTTATTGAGTGAAACTAGGACGACAACAGATATTGAAGATATTGAAGTTAACCTTGAAAATTATTGTCATATTCGTTGTGACTCAACGAGTAGATACACTGGAGGTGTTATGCTATACATCAACAAACATTATAATTTTTCAAATTTTAAAACATTTCAATTGCGTAATAATTATTGGTGCAAAATTATAAAAGTTGATGTTAAATCCATGGTTTACTTGGTGGGATGTTTATACCATTCACCATCCAGTTCTGATGCTCAATTTATTGAAGATTTGGAAGAAATATGTGATGCCTCATTTACTACAAACTACCGGTTTGTGTTAGTTGGTGACTTTAATATTGACTTGTTGGCTAGTAATTTCTATGGTGAAAAAATTAAAAAATTGTTTTCGGCTTATGGGATAAAACAATATATTAGTGATCCTACCCGTATTACTGACACTAGTAAGACTTTGGTAGATTATGTACTTTCTAATCAAAATAATATAAATGCTTGTGTTCACGATTGTCCAAAAATTACTGATCATTCTGTTATTTCAGTGAATATCTCAAATAATAATAGTTATAATATATCTGATGGTAATATATCCAAGTTTAGAAATTTATGTAATCAAAACTTAGATAAAATCAAAACTAATCTTATCATGTGTCACTTTAATTTTGATTCTGTTGATGTTAATATCATTTACCACGAAATTTTACAAAATTGTGAAAATGTAATCAATGACATAATACCAATTGTAAAATGCCAGTTTCAATCAAAATTACCTTGGTTTGATTATGAGGTGTTTAAACAAATTAAACAACGTGACAGGGCTTATAAAGATTTTAAAAAATGTATTGATGTCATTGAAAAACAACATAAATGGCAGGTTTTTAAGAGACATAGAAATGAGGTAGTAAATATGTTAAAGCTAAAAAAAGAGCAATTCTATTTTAACAATATAGACAGGTATAGAAACAATCAAAAAAAATGTGGAAAACTTTAAAAAAATTAATCAATAATAATAGTCGAGAAATGCCAAACACAGTAATCTTTGAAACTACTACTGGTCTAAAACGGTTAACAAACGAAGTAGAAATAGCTAACAGTTTTAATGAGTATTTTGTGGAAAGCATTGAAAGTATTGTTCAAAGTATTGATAGTTCTGAAACATGGTGTAATGTAAATAGTAATCTTTATTTAAATTTTGAAAAATTTAAAATGCTTTCTATGCAGGATTTGCGAAAAATTATTGGCAATTTGGATAATAAATTCTCACTACATGAAACGTTAAATTGCAGAATGGTAAAGGAAGTTTTTGAAACTATTGGGCACGTTATGTTAAATTTAATTAATACATCTCTTACTACGAGTAGAATTCCTGATGTATTAAAAATAAGTAACATCACCCCTATTCAAAAAATACCCAACACTATCAAAGCTGAAGAATTCCGACCAATCAATACTTTACCTCCTATAGAGAAAATATTAGAAATTGCTGTTTATGAACAATTATTAGAACATGTAACTAAAAATAAAATTTTAATTAATAATCAATCAGGTTTTCGAAAACAATTCTCTTGTGAATCAGCGTTACAAGTTACATTATGTCACATAAAGAGTAATTTAGATAAAAATATGTATGTAGTCGGTGTATTTCTTGATTTAAAGAGAGCTTTTGAAACCATTGACAGAACAATAATGATTTCTAAACTTAAACAATATGGTATAGGAGGTACAGTAATTGCGTGGTTAGAAAATTATTTACAAGATCGCAAACAGAAAGTTCGATTTAAAGACCAATTGTCATCTGAAATGGATAGTAATACAGGGATTCCTCAAGGTAGTGTATTAGGCCCCCTTTTATTTATTCTGTACATTAACGATATCGATATTTTTGTAAATTGTGAATTTATTAATCTTTTTGCCGATGATACTCTAATCTGTTGTAGTGATAAAAATTTTGATTTAGCTATTCAAAAAATGAACACCATTTTAGATATGGTTAATATATATTTAAAAATGAATAAACTTAAGTTGAATGTGAAAAAAACAAAGGCAATGATTTTCACTACCAAACATAAATATAGCTTGCTTGATTCTGAAATCATAAATTTAAATATTAATAATAAAAAAATTGAAATTGTCACAACAGTTAAATATTTGGGATTCCAGCTTGACAATACTCTGAATTTTGAGAGTCACTTCGAGTACGTTCATAAAAAAATATCAAAAAAACTTTACTTTCTGAGTAGAATATCTCAAAATTTATCAATGGAAACAAAAATAACAGTATATAACACAATTATTCAACCTCATTTTGACTATTGCTCATCAATTTTATATTTATTTAATCTTAACAAACTTAACATGCTACAAAAATTACAGAACCGTGGAATGAGAATAATTCTTAAAACAAATCGCCGTACCCCAATTGGGTCGATGTTAAATACTCTAAATTGGTTCTCTGTTGAAAATAGACTGTTTTATTTCACCATGATTTTGGTCTTCAAAATAGTAAATGGCTTATCACCTGAATATTTTCAAGAATTCATTTCTTTCAACAAAAGTATTCATTCGTATAATACCCGAGGTTTAGATGACATATATGTACCTAGAACTATGTATAAAAGTACGATGAATTCGCTCTTTTTTAAAAGCTTCGTTAAATTTAATCAGTTACCAACATCTGTAAAAAAATGTACTAGTCTTAATAATTTCAAACTGTTACTTAAACAACATATCAAAAATTTATAGTGTACTTTATTTATATTGTATGTATATTAGGGTTCCTATTTAAATAAAGATCTATCTATCTATCTATGTCATAGTTCAAATGTTTCAGTCATTTATTAATAATGGTTTAATTATTGTTATTATATTCTTCTTCGTTTTCTTCAAGTCCTGATCGACAAGCGATTAAAACCGTGGTTTTATGGCTCGTCGGTAAAGCTGCCCAGTGTTCCATTGCAATACCGCGGTTTTATACATCGACGAGACTGGCTCGCTGCTATTTTTACTTGGTCCATCATGTAAAAATCAGAATTTTTTTCGATTTTTCACATATCACATTATAGTGCTTTGTTTTGTATTATAGGTGTCACTAAAGACAATAATTCATTCTATGATTCTTCATTTTCATGATAATTTTGACATTTTCTGATAATTACTGCATCAATTGGTTCTACTAACAATTTTTGAATTAAATGAGTGAGGCAGTTCTTGTCTTTTTTCTATCTAATTTTCCCAAATCTAATAACCCAAACTCTAGGGCTTTTCGCTTCATTTTTATTATTTTGCGGTGTTCTGTAGCGAGATAACACATAACTTTAGACTCCGAACCAGACATGTTAATTCGATTCTCATTCAAACACGTCTATTTTGTACACTGTAACGTAACTTGTCTGGATGGGAAGTGTAGGATGGAAAGAGAAGAAGAAAATTCAGGTTTAAGTTAGTTCACCTTGAAAAACCGCGCTCTCACGGCGCTCCCTGGAGAAGTGAAATCATCACTCAAAAATCATTCTCTTGTCAGCGTAAGCGGAAAGATTCTTGTTTATTTCTACGTAAATATCTGGAGATCAAACGAAAAAGCAATTTGTAGATTATCAATCTCAGAAATGCAAAAAGATTAAGAATCTTTTTAGGTTTTAAGACTCGTACGTCGATTACTCCCTTTAGTCAGTATTTTGCTTTTTAGTAATCTTTTATTTGCAAAATAAGCTTTATTCAGTGCCAATATTTTTTCTTTTATTTCTGAAATTCTTTCTCCGGTTTTGCTTATTGTCACTCCTAGGCATTTGAAGTTTAAATCGAAGCAAACCTACTAATGACATACTCTGTCCTTTTTATCCAGAGGACACTAGATGGCTCCTGATATTTTTCATAAAAAATCTAAGAACCCCTGTTATGTTCAAATGTATATTATTTACAGGTATTTGAAGTCCTATCACCTCGCCTTTCTCTTTTATATCATCTAGCATTTATTTCATTATGTTACTATTCTTTGCAATAATAACAATATTATCTGCTTAGGTGATTATTTGTTCGCCTTTTGTTCTTAGGCTCCCTTTGTGTATATTTCATAGTACATATTCTGAACCTAGATTAAACGGTGTTGTGGATAAGGCATCTCTGTGTTTCACCCCTTTATTTATAGTAATGAGTTCATCTGTCTTTCCCCTTTGCGTGTTTATTCTAATTTTGGTAGTTTTTATTGCTATATTTATTCATTTTCTGAGGTTATGTGGGATTTTTAATTATTCCAGTGCTATCATTAGTTCTTTCATTTAATTGAATCAAAGGCCTATTTGAAGTCTATAAATAGCATTTCCTATTCTAATTTGTATTCATTTGCTTTTTCCCTAGTTTGTTTGATTGTCTATATAGCATCTATTATTGATTTTCCTTCAGTGAATCCACATGTATTGTCCCACTCTATTCTGCATGGTATTTGGCAACTTCGAATTATTGACGCCTTTATTTTATCTCTCAAGGAGCACTTTTACATGTTCCAGTTCCTTTTCACCCGTTCATTTTCCTTTTGAATTTCACTCTACTCTTGTCTTAGTTCTGCCAATTTAATTCTGAGTTCCCTCATTTCTTCGCTGTGTTGTTTTTGGTACTCTAGATTTCTTTCTCATCCGATTTTGATTTTTGCGATTCTTCTGTTAAATTTGTCGTTATATTTAATATTTGGTCTATTTTACTTTCATCTTTGTGACTTTTGACTGAGTTTCTTGATACTTTTTTACTTTGATAAAATATTTGTTCCGATATTCGCCCGATATATATTCATTAGAATACATATTATTGCTATTACTCGCGATAAAACCACCCTCCCCACTTAACGCGTCGAAGGTTGATGGTTTTCCCAAGCAATATTTTTCTCTACAAGCAAAA